GGAAATAATATCATTACGTTGCTCAAGCTTACTCAATACCTCCTCCTATATCCTTCCACCCTCTCCTCCGTCTATTCTTTTCCCCTAGATATATTTTCCTCAGAATTATTACGCTCATTGTAATAAGGTAGAATCCTAGCTTCACAATACTCAAAATAGTGATACTGCATAAAGAACCACGAAATAAAATAATGGTGCGCAAATCTACAGAATCATTTGCGTACAAAATATGTGCACTGCAGTGATAGCATATTTAGCAAACATTTCATCAGCCCAAGGTGAGATAGAGTAGATGAACAATAAAAACCTGTTCACAATCCAGCTTCCATTACTAATAAAAAGTCACCGTACATAAGATGTGCTTAATCATTAAATGTCAACCAAAATTTCGAAATTCGTTCTCGTTTCGAAAAGGTAAATTAAGTAGTATTGTTAAACTTATTATGATGCAGCATAAGTCTGTAATGATCCAGTGAATTCAGTTTTCCGGGTTTCGAAAGAATGACAGGGATGACAGGTTCTTTGTCATCTCGAAAGAGGACAGAGGTGGTGGTGGTTGTGGTGTTGGTGGTGGTGGTGGTGGTGGTGGTGGTGGTGATGGTGGTGGTGGTGGTGGTGGTGGTGACGATACTGAATCAAAAAAGTGGAATTAATTTTTGTCATCTCGATTCACAGGCATTTTAACAAGTGATTTCAACGCTGGTGCACGTGGTCGCAACCGAGACACAGGCCTAATAAGGGGGTATTCAGCAGCGATGACTGGTTCCTTGTCATCTCCAAATCGGAATAACTTCTGGCGTACACGTCGCCTGATGTTGAAGGGGCGAGGGGGCTTGTCCTTCTCTGCAGCGCCAATCCAGTGCTCCACCTGAAGCATAAGATAACTTTGATCTCAAATTAACAGGGCTGAAATGGCATACACTTACAGACATTCGGGGCTTTTCCGTAGTGTTGGATAACTATCCAGCAGGCGACTGCGATATTGCACGCTCGTCAGCTGCCATTGCACCTCCTTCAGCATTGCCGGAGCGTGCACTCTCAGCTTCTCATCATCGGCAGCACCACCGGCGTCCACCCAGCGCGAAATGGCCGCAATAACCTGCTCCTCAGATTCCACCGAGATATCATCGCTTCGGAGCAGAGTGAGCACAGTTTCGGCGGGCAAGCTGACAAAGAGGTCAGTTTGATCGAAGTGCTCAAACTGCTCTTTCATAAAGCCGATACACTTCTCCGCCAGTACTTCCACATTCAGGGTCCTGGCAAAGTCCCAAGTTGCTGGCAGACTTTCTACGTTGAGGCTTTAGTGTGCGTAGGTAAGACCGGAACGATAGTTACCCTCTGACCATGAATGTAACACCCCAGTTCACGAGGTCAGGCAGTTTGACCATTTTGGCAAGCGTAACCATGCCTCTCGCATTACTTGGTATCATCTCCACCTGACCCGTGTAAACATACTGAATGAATGTAGTTGCGAGGCTATAAAGAGCGCAAGGAGTAAGCAACATCGCAGAACCGATGGAAATGTTACTTGAGAGGCACTGTGGGCCATCTGAGAACCGAATTCTCCTCCCCACAGGGGCCACTGAGGGCGGCTCGCATAGAAGGAATACGGGCCGCTAATATTATTCGATGGGTGTGGAGTACTGCCCCGCCCTTAACCTGGCAAACATACACACAAACGTCAGCAGTAAGGAAACTTACCTCTATTCGCAGATCCTTTATGTCCTGAGCAAGGCGAATTTCGTTCAATGCAGGACAGCTTCGAATCAGGGGAAATTGGTCCTCGAATACTTCTGCCTGTCGAAGCGCCATTCGGAGTAGTAACCAGAGTAGCAGAGACGGAATGCTACGAGGGCCACGAAGGCTGTCTTTTACTGTGGCTCAAGAGGTTACACATGCATGCATTCACGCGCTGACGACCTGCAGGTTCTGATTGGTTGACGACAGCACATAGCCAAATCGATTGTGCGGTGGTTGGCACAGCAGTGGGAGGGTGTAAATTATCAAAGAAGAAGTCGCAATTTTTTATTTGATCAAGGCTAAGTTACCTAGAAGTCGCCTATGGCGTGTGTTAACTGCCGAGTAGACTGACGTGTGCCAAGTCAGCAAAAGGAGACCGTGGGGGGAGGCAGGATGCGGGGATTGAATTATAGGCAGACGGTTTCGGTTCGATGTGTACACATAACGCCAGTTTGCGAAGATAATATTTTCGCACACTCGACTAGCGAGAGCAGAGCTCGTGAAACACACCGAGTTGGATTCAACAAGAGCAGCCTAACAATTAACTCTTCTCAACATTGCTGAGAAAGCTGGATACAAGGATACTGCGTTGCGTAGGTCATCAGACATTCGTGATATCGGGACACTGTACTTATTGCAATCCAGACCACTCAGAATTCATCCTGAGGCTAACCACCGGCTCAAAGGTCGGCAATACTCTTGAACTACCAAACCATTCGTCAAGTTAGTATTGGGTTACTTTGTTCGCGATATGAATGGCGACTTTACTGTCAACAAATCGGCCAGAGCGGCGAGTTCTGGAATGAGCATTTTGATCAGCCGATCTGCTCAGGAGCAGAGTTTCCTCCCCCTCTCCAGCCTTTGCAGCTAAAGCCCTTAATCTCCCTCAGGAAGACATCTTCCATCATACACGTAGACCGCAAAACAACAACATCAACAAGACTTTTAGAGAGGACGGTATTCTCACTGAGATTCAAAAGCCGTGTGCTGACACTCCAGCACACATGCTCTGGTTCAAATCAATCTCTCCCATCCACTTGACGTTTCGTCTATCGTTCGACGGGACTACCGGAAAGGCAATACACAATTTTGACAGTGTTGCATTTATACCCAATCGCCGAATTACTGATCGCAGCAACACTAACCATGCCGCTCTTCTAGTCTCAAGCTTTGGCGTAACGGATGGATGAAGTTGGCAGATTGGTCGGTCCACCAAACATGACACCGTTCGAGATTGGTGTCTGTCAGTATGAAGAATGAGGCTGCTTTAAATAGCCCAGTGAGGTAGTTAGAAAATGAACAACCTGACACAATAAGCCGTACCCAAACGATGGGGCTTTCAGGTTTTCATTCTCTGGTGTCGTCTACCTGGAGATGTCAAAGTGGAGATCAACCTAAAACCTAGATGCATTTTGACCCAACTGTGAAAAACTCGCTGCTCCGGTGGGATTTGAACCCACCACAGCAAGGGAAAGGCTTTAGTACAGCCAACGCTCTGGCCAACAGCCGATGCGAATGGACAAACACAATGGTCCTCGGTTTACCTGGTTCATTCATTACTTGCAACGCACTCTTCAAAGTGTCTCGACTAACTAACTGAGTGGATGTTATAGGTGTTCAAAGAAGATAGTACATCGTCTCTTCTCGCCGCTATCGAAAGTTAAATTTAGAATATAACGATGGGCTTTCATTACTCGTATATATTTAGCATGATTTCAGAGCCTTTTATAATATTTATGAGTAGTCTGGGCAACCTTGTCTTTATCTCTCGTTTAACCTGCCACCAACCCATTCCCTTCTCTACTTTTGACTAAAGCACCGTTCTCTTGTTGGCTCGTGACGCTTCGCCGTCCATTTCCAGCATAACTAACCCGGGAACTCACTTTGCATTGCTGCACCAACTATAATCAAACTAAATTGATAGAACCATCATCGAGATATGAACACAGAACAATGCTGCATCATATATAAACGCGGTAGCATGTGGTCTAGACTTAATAGCTATCCAAATTGCATGATATGATACCATGAGATATACAAAAAGCTAGTTGATGGGCGTCAACACAATGGACGCCGTGAACATGAAATCACATTCAGAAGTTTAGGATGCCCTTTGGGATTGTTTGGGAGTGCAAATAATGTCATTAGACGGATCAGTTGTTTAATTAATTAAAGAGACTACGTGCGATTACACACCTTCTTAATGCATTAGTGGTCTCTGAAATGGACGGTCTAACATAGCCTTTTATTTTGGACCGGACTTTCAGTAAGTCAATTTTTGTTCATTTGGAGACCAGTTCATGTATTTGGCTGTGTCAGATGTATCTCGATTGGCAAAGTTGAGATATCCGGGTTGATTATTTGAAGATGAAGATAAACTCTCCGGAACAGGTTTATTTAATTGCAGAGGTTTCAAAGAGCTGGGTCGTCTCTTCATTGTCAAAGCGTAAAATCGATCAGAAATTTAATTTAAAGAGGCATGTTGTGTTGACCGGCCTCATGCTGATCGATTTTTCTCTCCTCTGGCTGCCTCGGCCTCTCGGGAGATGGTTGACGGGCGTTTTGCCTGTGTGCTTTGTGAGTCACCACTCCGTCGAGGGGAGCTGATTGGACTTTAGTCCGGAGAGCTTATCTTCATCTTCAGATGTATCTAGGTTATATTATTACATAAACATTCTGTTAGAAATATGCCGTGGTGTGAACCTAGACCGGAATTACGAAATAACGCATGCTCTGCTACCTAAAAAAATTAATCTGGAATTCCATTGCAACTGATAACCCTTCCTTTGCGTTCCTACGAATAATTTCTGAAGGACTGGTAAGAGGGCGCTCAAGGATCTCACTCGTCGGGCTCTCACTCTCTCGAGCCCAACCAGCAGCCGCACAGCTTACTGGGTGTGTTTCTCATTGACTAGGCGACCATGGTCGTCTGTGTGTTCCGTCCCCTCTGGAAAAAAGGACTTGAGGACGTTTTTGCATTTCTCGATGAAACGATCCTGAAAAGACAATAGTAAATTTCAGAAAAGTCAAACGTGCAATCAAAGTCAGTACGTCCCGTATAATCGTACATGTAAGACGGGTGCAATCATATCAGCTTTAAATAGCAAAATCCTATCATCGAAATTTATTTTGTTGAATATGGCAAATGTATCGCGATTTTAAACTGTACTAAAGGTTGCGCCTTTGACAGTTCCCAACTGACCGACCGAGGGTCAGGATACATTGGTTTCCATGTAGCGGTCGACAACTTACATTGAGTGTGGCACACACGATAGTTTGACCGTCGTTGCCGACGATGTCCACCATGTGCTCCACAGCAAAGTGAGAGCAGGGACGGTGACTTTTGCGTGAGCTAGTTTATAGTGAGAATGGACTTTCACAGCATCCATCGCACTCTCTCCTCCCCCACATGGACCCGGTATCAAGACAGAGTCACGAAGACCGGAGGCGGGGAAGGGCGCAGGTGGACAGCACGGTCGGGCCCACACCTTGGCGTTCCACATCACACCCCCCTTGTCCACACAGCAAATGACCATGTTTTTAGCCAACAACAACAAGAGGGGAGGGGCTGCAGGGGTGCCAGTGCGCTCGACGTCCACTGGCAACTGAGTCTGCCACCGCACCCCGAAATGACGGCATTTGTCATGGTGCGCTATCCGATTACACCTGCCAGAATCCGATATGACCCCGTGTTGGCCCAGTGCATCTACCACGTGGCCGAATTTGTGGGACACACACACGGATAAACAAGCACCTTTGGTCGTGGGAATACTGAAAAGAATTGGCAAGCACCAAGCCGAACATAGATATGCGGAGGTCATAAGAAAACTATACTAACGACAATAATTGAGTAACTATGTGATAAGGACACAATATAAAATAAAAAATGAGTGCTACTTGTAAAATAGTCGCAGTTGGAGTGAGGTGTGTTCCGTCGTGTCACTGGTGGGGAATGCTGAGCCGAAAGCAACTGTGAGGGCAGGTCTTGGGAATGTTGACATTGAGTGAGGGTAAGCGAGACTATGTATGACGACGATAACCGCGAGGATGAGGGCCAACGATTGAGAATGGAAGGGCGTCAGCATTTTCACTGACATTCCATCACACCGTCCCCATCCGGAGGTCCGCATCTACGTGAGGTCCTTCACTTCACTTAAACAACATATTCAGTTTTGTGGAGCGTTAAACCCTCTTAACCTGGTACTTACGACTTTCCTGACGGATGCGCGGTTAGTGTCTAGGAAATCCGTTCCTGTGCGCGTAGACACGAGGCTTGACACTCCAGACATCCTGTGGCGCCCACAGCCGTCAGCAGTCCTACTGACTTTGTCCAGCCTTTGACACCTAGTGCGCAAAGGATGCCGCGCAGGTCCCCTTTATTACGAACCCAGTCAGGCGAAAATCATCGCTTCCCCTCTAGAAAACGGTTTAGGGGGGGGGGGGAGGAGGTAGACGATTTAACAATCTGGATTTACAATGGTAGGGAACGCTCACCGATCGTTCTTACGGAATTCACTCGTCCCTTCGAGTCTTAGGGCTCTATCGCTCTCTCGCTCGAGCCCACCAAGCAGCCGCAGAACGGCGCGTAATATAGGCAGAGCTTACATTACCGACAAGGACAAGGGAGACTGGTATGGCTGGCCCGTGGCTCAGTGGTTAGAGTAGTTGGACTTCTAACTAACAGTTCGCGGGATTGAGCCACAGGTGTTCAATAATTCGGGATTGGGTATGACTGGCTGACGATGGCTAATAAGTCAGAAATGGGCATTCCAGACTTCCTAGTCCTTGTAGGTAGATTTTTTTTCAAGGAACCCTTCTGTATATATTTTCATCAGTTCATCATCATCTGGCTACGTATTGAGCGTGATCGATCTTATCTGGCCTGGTGTGCAGGCGTCTCACGGTCCAGGGCCCAGCAGCTCCAGGTGTGCTCCCGATACTGGCCTGTACCCCAGGCACTCATTGGTTGTTCATTTAGCAGCGGAAGTAAGAGGTGGTTTGGTAGGCCCACCTCATGGACACAATACCGTTGGGGTTGGGGTTAGTGTTAGGGGTTAGGGCTAAAGGTCAGGGTTAGCAGTTGGGGCTTAGGATAAGGGGTTATATTAAGGGGTTATGGTAAGGGTTAGGAGTTAGTGCAAATACTTGTCAACCATTGAAAGTACAACCACGCACTTCCAATAGCTTTTCTTTTGCATGCAACTACTTGACCTCGTGGCATGTGCGTTCCCCGGCTCCACCTTTAAAAATCCCCTATTACCACTGTCCCCCTATAAGAGGTGACTGGGGTTTGCTTACTTCAGGTGGGGCTACCAATCCACATCCCACCGCAGCGGGTCTCATTCACGTAGATATTTCCGACTGAGGGAATCCTATTTCGGCTTGAAACACATTGACTAACCACAGGAATTTTCGAACATCGGTTTTTCTTAGAATACACTTCATTTCATTCATTTGAGACTCTGAAGCTCTTTGTGATCTCTACTGAGCAGAACTCCAGAAAGCGCTCAAACCTCAGGATCTTCAGCAGAAACGGCAACCAACTGACTGTCGAGAAATTTAGGAGGTAAGCGATCAGATGGATGACGCAGGTTGCAGCCTATTTTTCCAGCATATTTGTACGAATTAGTTCAAATCCATGTGTGAATGTAGGATATTTGCATAATAGAAACTAATATGGAATTGGATAAATGTAAGAGGTGACAAAATTCACAAATTTTGTATTATGCCGCTCTGCTTCAGGTGATGCTTGGAAGCGAGCGGTATAGTTTTCAGGAGCTTTTTCACAAACGGATGACATGGGCGGACTCCATTATACTGTAAGAGCAGTTGACTCATGTCTCCCACTGCCGAAAACAAGCCGACACTCGCACCGTCACAGTATGCTTCAGAAAATACACTCCTTCGTACGATGGCTATATTCATCTAGGCATTCCATACATAAAGAGAATCATGTCCGCTGTTTTATTGCGATGTTTTGGCCGCTGTAAAAGACTTATGCCACTCTGCGTTTCACTTTCTGCCGAAAGAGAGATACAAGTGCGAAGCAGATCACAGGACCACTACAAACATTGAGCCCTCGTTCTTCTTCTTCTTCTTCTTCTTCTTCTTCTTCTTCTATTTCTTCTTCTTCTTCTTCTTCTTCTTCTTCATCATCATCATCAGCAGCAGCAGCAGTAGTATTAGTAGTAGTAGTAGCAGAATCATTTTGGTCTTGTTCCTCTTCTCTTTCTTTTTCTTTCTTCTTCTTCTTCTTCTTCTTCTTCTTCTTTTTCTTCTTCTTCACCGGCATTCCTTTTCATGTCCCCATCCTTCGCTGTCTGTGGTTATGGCTCTTGTATGCACTGGACGCGCCAGATGAACATTGCTTCTGTCTGAGCGACCAGAATTAATTCTACTCAAACACCCTCAGGAATTCACTATGTCCAATCAGCGAATGAGCATCTCCCTCGAGCAAATTAACTGGTTCACCTAATCCCCACACCCCTATTTCATTCCCCTAAAGTCAAAAGTGGACATTAATCGGCCATGCCACATTTTGAACATCGCACGCAGCCTTTCAGAGTTTTGAAATAACACCTGTAAAGGCAAATTTATTTGCTAGTCGTTTATTTCCAATACGCAGCCAATGGAGGGAACTCCAAGGTGAGATTCAAGGAAAATTAACGCAGACGTTTACATGCGAATGTTTGTAGCTCCATCAATCCACTCCAGCGTCTCCACTGGGCTCATGGACAACCAGACCCAAGATGTCAAGTCATTGCCAAAGTCGGTTGAACCTCCTGGTGCCGTGAGAGTCTCCGCCGTGTTTTTCGGTGCGTCGTCGTTGCCTACAATGTTTCATTTGAATAAACATGATGAAGTGCCATTTGAAGAGAAAATATAATAGAGAGAAAAGAATTTTCTAAAAAAATGAAGGATCGCCGAATGCTTCTTGCTGTGATGGCGCAGTGCGCAGGAGAAAAGCCTCCACGGCGTCATGTCACAGATTACAGTTGCATCTGGCGTCACCTTCCAGGTGCTGTAATCTTTCAGCTTTGTAGAATAAAAGTAGGCTAATATGAAAGAGGCCAGCAAATAACATGAAAGGATCCATTTAATCTGTGTATCGCCTTACCGAGGGCAAAGACGGCGTTGGCGGAGGTGAGAAGAGTGAAGAACCAGCGAGACTGCTTCATGACGGCCAGCTCTGTCCACTGGCCGTGGGGTATGCTGGCGTCTGGCAACGAGAACACCTCCACGACGTTGAAAGTCCTTTGGCCATCGCATCCACCGGCGACCAGGATTGCTCCCCGAAATGCCGTCGCTGCGAGCCCCCATCGTGCAGTTCTCATGGGGGCAGCTGGCTGCCAAAAGTCCGCTGAGGTCGCCTGTCCCTGCCAGTCTGCCCGCAGATGGCAGAAGACCACGGAAGCAAGCGCGGAGGAGGAGACATCCCTACCGCCAAAAACGAAGACCCGACTGTCGTCGGGTAGGCAGGCAGCAGCTGGACCGCTCCTCTTCTCCGGTAGATCGGGCAATTTGTGCCATCTGTTCGGGGAAGCGGAGGGTAAGCGGGACAGTGAGTGAGTGATATTTCTAGCAAAAATTGGATGTGCGACGACGACCGGCGTCTTCTCACCTGTCCTGACTGACGTCATAGAGCTCACAGGAGGAAAGGCGTGCATCTCCACCTCTTCCACAAAAAAGGCAAATCAGCGTCTTCTCTCCGGCGGCGACGGTGGCGGGCACCTTCATGACTGTGGCTGCGTGGAACCAGCGTGCAACGGCGAGGGGCGTACGCTCACGCCATCGTCCTTCTCCCACCAAAGCTCGTCAACATCAGCACGCCCTGGATTGCATCCACCAACAACGAAAATGCTCTCTTCCGGGGGGCAAGGTGGGGGTAATGGGGGAGGTGTGGAAAAGGTAATGCATAATGCGGCCAGCCAAGAGTCTTTACATAAAAGTAACTGGTCGATAGACCATCTTCAAAAAAGGAACCCCTAGACAAGCGCCAGTCGCCACAAGAAGCTTACTTGTTTACTTATTTGCTTTCTTCAAAACAACACATGCAGCTGCTACAATGGACTAACTCAAGAGCTCGAGATGCCTGCGCAATGGCAGATAAAAACGGCATGCGCTGTCCGGCAAATCACCGCCCACGACACTGTAGGAGGCATGACTACGCAACTCGTTCTGCCCGCTGCAGGTGCGCGTCAACGCGGGAGACAGAGTACTTGTCTTGACCTTTATCCTTTCCAAAGAGGAAGAACGTCTGACGTACGCGTGGCCTGATGTTGAAGGGGCAGAGCGGCTTGTCCTTCTCTGCAGCGCCAATCCACCGCTCCACCTGAAGCATAAGATAACTTTTATCTCAAATTGACAGGACTGAAATGGCATAAACTTACAGATATTCGTTACTTTTCTTATTGGCTGATGGCAGCACAGAGCCAATTCGATTTTGCGGTGGTTGGCACAGGAGTGGGAGGGGGTAAATTACCAAAGAAGAAGTCGCAATTTTTATTTGATCAAGACTAAGCTACCTAGAAGTCGCCTATGGCGTGTGTTAACTACCAAGTAGACTGACGTGTGCCAAGTCAGCAA